CGCGACCGGCGAGTTCCGCATGCTCGAGCAACATAAGGAATAACTTGTACAAATATGGCGCAAGTTGGGCGGGGCACACTTTGTAGAAACGGCAAAAATCCACCACCAACAGGGGAAGAGGAAGTGTGTACCCTACAATGAAGGGGTAGGCGTAGAACACACAGTATCCGGGGCGGTCGAAATGAACTATGTCCTTTCCCACTGCCGGCCGCATATCAACGTAACCGGGGATCCCCCACATTTCTTTCAACCTTGCAATATCCCTCTCCCTCATAACAGAGTGAACAGGTTCCGGTTCGACCCCGACGAGAGCATTGAAGTCAGTCGGCTCTCTCTCAGGGCGGGGCAAGATCTCAATCACTGATGGGACTTCCTCATCCTCCACCGCATCTGCCCCTCGGGTGATCTGGCAGCACTTTCCGGTACCAGATTAGCAGCAGGGGGATTGTCACGAGAAGAATCACCAGCCATTCTTGTCAGAAAATACGCCAAAGAAATAATAGAAAGAAGAGATGAAAGTTTTCAGTGAACAAGGGGGCACGCAGAAATTCGAGGTATCAGAAAGAAAGTATATCAGCAGGATTTTCCCAAACGAAAGATAAAGAAGTGTGTCAATCGATGACAAGTTTCCTCTATTTATAAGAGACATAAAGCCCTTGAGCACAAAACCCAAGAGTCGCCAACCGTATCTGATAGGGCACGAAACGTTTCAGTCTCCCAAAAACGTGTCATAATGGCGATAACCACGAAACAACGTTTCAATACCAAATGGCGTTTCGGTTCCGAAACCGCCGCAACGGTCTAGGGGGATCGACAGAACGCCGCCACTCCGCTAAAAACCCACAAAATGTGACTAAGGAACGGAGAGTCATAAGTCAGATTTCTCTCAAATTCGTAACGATCATGATCCATCTGCCGAGCCCGTCATAGGACGACCCCGACAGATGGAGGGACTAACTATATTGGTCAAAATCTGACCGTCACGACCGAGTTGACCGATGCCCCGCCTAGTTAACCGGGCAGTGGAAGTTAACAGAGCCCACTCCATTTCTCCTCTCTGACATCCAACGAGTCAGTAAGAGTGGCGCCTAAAATCATGACCAAGACACATTGGTGGCAAGAGGACGTCGAGTCAAGCAAAGGGCAAAGGTGTCTTGATTATATATAGCCAAGGAAAGCTTTCAACGAGGGGGCTGCTCCTGATATCTCTCTCAAATGAGCAAAAAGCTCTCTTCTTGTATTCTGGATAGAGGAGAAGTGGTCTCTAGAAAAATGTGTAAATCTGCCTCCCATCGATTGGTGGGAGAGACAACATTGAATCTTAATAAGATCATTCATATTTCTTTCATCTTATATATGATCCTTACTGCTAGCTCTTTGATCTGGAATTAATTATGTTTGACTAAGATTTACCCCTTCATTTTTGATTGATTTGTTCAGAAAAGTTTTAATATCTTTTGAGTAAAATAAAAATAACATTATTGGCGTAGTTCTTGATAGCTAAATTACACGTAAATAGAGGTCGGCGAAGCCTACTATGCAAACGAAGAAACCCTGAGAAATTACGAAATGTTCATAATTGAAGGAGATTAACTATTTGAATTTGAATAATATATGTAAAATAAATAAACAGTATGAACAAAGCAGAAAAAACTGCATCGAAACCTAACATATATACTGTCGACTTGTCTCAACTTGTTAAATGTCATTTTAAATAAGCAAGTTAAATTTCGACTAAAACTTGGTCAGAATCAATATTCTGTCGAGTTATTTGTGTAGATTCAGCGTGATCTAAATCTGTCTTAAAATCCTTTAATAATCCACGAGCGGATAAATTTGGAACCGTCATGTTGATTACTGTCTTCAACTTTCATATGGTATTTTCATATTTTTCTTGGTCAACAGTCAAATTACGCATCTCAAGAATAAAATTACTAATAAAAGAGTTAGTTGTAGTCGTAGCAGCAGCAACAGCTAAGTTCTTACTGTTTAATTAAGGGACCATTTGATAAATTGTCCACATGAAATTGGATAAACAGCACCGTCTTCTTCTTCCCCCATAATCATGAACAAGACTCCAAGAGAAAGAATAAAAAGATAGGTTAATGATGGCAATGGAGAAGTAGATGAACCTCATTTTGGCTCCTTTCTTCTCACCACTTTTGACTCCCAACCCCTCATTCACATGCACTTGGAACTTGCTTCACGTGTCTTTGTTGTAGAAAACAGATATATAATTCCAGGGCTTTATTTGCTTAGTACTAATATTCTTACCCCAAATTTTATTTTCTTCATCTATTTAAAGGTTTATATAGTCCAAAATTTACCACCCAGTTCTTTCTTTTCTTTTTCTCCATTATCGTAGATAATATATCAGGTCATATCTAGCTAATTCTCCATCAACAGGTTTATAATTTTTTTGTTTCGCTATCCATTTTCATTTGAATATTTCTTTGTGGCCATTTGATTGCAGTTGAGACCCTACAAAGAAAAAAAAAAACAAAGACGAAAACAAGAAGGAAACAACAAAAAAGAACAAGGAAAGAAAGAATCCCCCAACCCCACAAGATAAAAAGTTTCATATAGTAAGGGGTCGTTTGATAGTTGGTTACAGGGTAAGTTATTTATGTTTAGGAGTAACATAACTAATATCATATTTGGTAGCATTTAATTATTTTGTAAAAAAGTCACCATAACTAATGTTATATTTGATTGCTTTTTTCCATTAATTAGGGGTATAAGTAATATATAGATAAGTTATACAACAAAGCTATGAATTATTTGTACAAGGTAGTATGAGGAATAACTAATACATGTATTAGTAATACATGGATTAAACAATAAAATGACCAAAAATCCCTCATATATATTAAAATTATACATTTTATATAATTAAAGTAAAGTAAATATTTAACAAAAAATAATCTCTACATTACAATCTATAAATTACTAATTCATGTAATACTAATCTTTTACATAACTAATCCCTTTATAATTAAACCTTGCATAACATAAACCTACGTAACTAAACTATGCATAATTAATCCCTACAAAACTAAACTCTACATAACTAATTCCTACATAATTAATTTTCATATTACTAATACATGTATAACTCTAGCCAGCAACCAAACGGTCCCTAATGGTATACTCTTTTCCTTTGAGTAAGTTATAGTTTATGACTATCCGGCCATTTCTTCAACCAAAAATAACTTTAAACGATTGAAATATCTTTCTTAATTTCTTACAAAACCAGGAAGTTCAAAAAATTAATGGCTAGTGTGTCCAAAACTTTGAAAGTTAGTCCCTCTGTCCTATTTTAATTGTTGCTTTAGTTCAAAAATATTATTTCAAATATTTTAGGAATTTAAGATTAAATTTGCTAATTATTTCTAACTATACCCTTATTATTAAAGATATAATAGTTCTTTCTAATACTAGCTCAATTCTTAAAGAATATGTAATAGAGTTTAAGCAAATTATGCCTTGTATTTAGTATTTTTTTGATAGGCATAAAAAAAGCTAAAATTACAATTAAAATGGGACAGAGGAAGTAATAGTTAAAAAGTTCTAAACTTTGACAACAGAGTGAAATTGCTTGGTAATCTTAGAACAATTGAATCTGTAACAGTTTCTTGTCCAGTGACAAATATTAATCTTTAGACCAAAAAAGAAAAAAACAAATATTAATCTAACTTGTTTAGGAAGTTTTGTCGTCATAATAAACAATAGTCAAAGTACATCTTTGACTACTAAATGGAATTAAATCCAAAAGGCGTTCTTTAACAACTAAATCCAACTTTGTCGAGGCATTTTATTGGCATTATCTTTAAAAGTATTCCTTTGCTTCCTTTATTACTTTTTTTTTTCTGGTTGTGGTTAGTGTTTTGTTTTCGGTAGTTCTTTGTTATAGTTGTTGTTATATTGCTTTATTAAGTAGAGGGTCATTTAAAAATAATATTTTTATCTTTATAAAGTAAGAATAAGATCGGGGACTTTATTTGTGGAAATAATTGTTATTTTAAAAAGTGTGATGGGCAAATGAGATACCTTCTCCTTATCATCTTCTTTTCAACAGTACTACTTTTTTCATTTGTAATGAATCAATAATTTGCAATGACTTCCACAACCCAATGTAACTTTTCTTTCTTCCTTTTGGACTTTGAATGCCTCGACTAAATAAATAGCCTTTGCCTCGGTCTAAGGTTACATCAATTCGTTAAATTCCACCATACTCCATAGTCATGCCTTTTGTTTTGGGTTAGTAAAACATGAAAATTATTTATGTAGCTTTTCCATAGTTCCTTACTAAAACAATGTAAAACGCAGACTAGATAATGGAGTGTAATCATGATACCAAAAGGGGGAACGTCCTAAATTTCAAAAAGGTTACATGCAAGTTGTATATAGCTAGTAATCCATTTTTTAAATTTAACCATTTAATATTTGAATTATATTGATCCGACTAATTTTATTTATGCTGATTAAATCCATTAAAATGATAAAATGTTTTCTAGCAAAAAGTCTTTTAATCCGAGATCTCGACTAAAAAATTATACTCTCTCCAATCTACCTTTTTTTTGTGGTTCACAATATTTAATTTTTTCAAATATTAAGAAGGAATTAATTTCTTTTTTCTAAAGTTATCCTTGGTGTAAAGAGGTTGGAAGTATTTGTTATATTTTCCATGAACAAATTAAGGTTAATAGGGTCAATTTCATTATTAATTAATGCTAAAAGTAAATTCTTTAATATTTATGAAAACAAAAAAAAAATTAATTAAAGTGAACCAAAAAAAGTACTAATTTAAAATAAAGGAATCCAAATTATCTCACCACATCTCTCGTGGTAGCCAGTAATGCAATTTTTTATTTTTTTTGGGCCAGTAATACAATTAATGTTTGGTCTTGGGACTACTTTCCTGTGTGCCAAACTTGAATCTTGGACTGAGACAGTTATTCAAAAGTCCAAAGCAACATTTGAAGTAATTCTATTTGTATTGCTCTTCCTCTTTTTTTTTTTTCTTTTTTTTTCTTCCTTCTTCTTAAGATATGGTTTGGCTACTTTGTTGGCCTTTTGTAATCATGAGGACCTTGTGTCATCATTGCTGTGGAAAAATATATCTCTCCCTCTTCCTCTCTTCTTCCCCTTTTGTTCTTTTCCCTCACTCTTGCACTTTTTTCTCTACTCAAACTTGAATATATAATTAACCCCATAATCCAATATTTTTAAGACCCTCTCCTTTTTCCCATCTTTTGATCTCCCATTTCTCTTACTGAAACTCATAATGTGCCATGCATGCGCAACATCACAGTTAGAGTCATTTCAGCCCTCATGCTACACTGATTTCCACAGTCCACAGTTGTCTAAAACAGCCAAGATACATGTGCTCAAGCTAAGAAGGTTAGTAGCAAGATTTTAAATTTTTTCTGCTTTGACAAATTTTTCAATCATCAGGTTAAGTTGACCTATAATAAAACTCCTCACAACAAGCATGATATGTACTAAAATATAAAGTAATGACATGCTATAACCAGCTATAAACTGCACTAATAGTTTATAAATTCATTTATACTGTTAGTGTATATATAACTTACATAATATTTTTTTATGATCTTAAACGAAAACTAAATAACGTTTATTTTCATTGTGCAACTGATATTAATTTGTGGGAAGAAAAGAAATGTTTTAACGTTTGAAGTAAAAAGAATTGACATTTGAGTTGATTTATAATATGTAGGAATGGTGGCAGATTGTCAAAGGAAGCAAAGGAAAGGACAAGGTTGAGGAAATTGAAGAAAGCAATGAAGATGAAGAACTTGAAGCTCTACAAAGAGAACAAAACCATAATTGAAGAGAATGAAAGGTTGCGCAAAAAAGCTCTTCTTCTTCATCAAGAAAACAAAGCCTTGTTCTCTAAGCTTCAACAAGTTTTTCAATCACCCAACCACGACTAACTAATTTAGGGACTTATAAGTTAGCATCATATTATGATGCTAGAGCTCTAAACAGTACTATAATTAATACACATAAATACTTATCTTTATATAGTATGATGGCTAATAGCTATTGACCATATTCTAGTTGGTTTATTGTATTTTACTTTTATCGTCTTGTATTCGATTTGTTACTATGTGGAATAATGACTTACTATGAAAATTTGAAGGTTTCTTTGGTTCCGAGGATGTTAATAATTTATAGATGCATTTTCATGATACAAAAATAAAATATATCCTGTAAAATTTCTGTCATTGATTTTCTAATCTATGTTATCACACTTTTGTTTTTGATGCGTACGTTCCTCGAATATTAACTGTATGTGATGACCCAAAAGGGCATCACTTGTTCTAAAAATCAAATCCGTGTGGCCTTAAAAATCTCCTCTTGTCTCACCTTGATTTGCGTGCGCAGTCAGGGCGTATATCCGAAAAGTCATTATGTGTAAAATCGAGAAAAATACTAATTTTGCCTTTAAAATTTAATTTAAGTTGACTTCGGTCAATATTTTAGGTAAACAGATCCGGACTTATGAGTCGACGGTCCCGGAGGGTCCGTAGGATAATATGGGACTTGGGCGTATGTTCGGAATTGAATTCCGAGGTCCCTAGCCCAAGAAATGAATTTTTGAAAGAAATTGTTTAATTGAAAATATAAAAGTTTTTAAAAATTTAAAGATGTTTGAATTCGATGGTATCGAGCCCGTATTTTGGTTCTGGAGCCCGGTACAGGTTTAGTATGGTATATAAGTTGTGCCTGTAAAAGTTGGTATGAAACGGAATTCATATGACGTGAATCGGACCCTCGGTTGTGAAATGGAAACTTTAAGAGTTATTGAGATTTTTCTTTGATTTTGATGCTAAACTCGTTCTAGGTGTTATTCTGGCAATTTGATCGCACAATAAGTCCGTATGATATTTTTAGGTTTGTGTGCATGTTTGGTTTGGAGCCCCGAGGGCTCGGGTGAGTTTCAGATAGATTTCAGGATGTTTTGGATTTAAGGAATTCTACTATTTTGCTGCTTCTGGTATACTGATATTCTGTTCTTCGCGTTCGCGATACAGCTCTCGCGAACGCGAAGCACAAGCTGGGCTAGGGAGGGATTTCATCTACGCAAACACGAGGCCTTGGTCGCGAACGTGGAGCACTGGGGAGATCGCTCTTCGCGAACGCGACTGGCCACACGCGAACACGTAATGCAGTGGAAGTGGCTGGGGGAATCTTTGAGTTGTTCTTTGCGAACACGATCCTAGGCCCGCGAATGCAATGGTCAGGGGGGATAGACCATCGCAAATGCGAGCAACTCATCGCGAACGGGTAGGCCCTTCTGGCCATAAGCTTCGCGAACGCGAAGAAGGTTTGTCCAGCGATTTAAAAACAGAGACAGAACGAGATTAGACCCAAAATTTCATATATCCTTCCCTAGAATTAGACCTTAGGCGATTTTTGAAGAGAAGTTTAAACCCCAAATCATAGGTATATGTTCTTAAACCCATTTCTTTTATTTCCTATCAACACCCATTAGATTTCTAGGCCTAAATCTTGTTCTTTAAGGGTAGAAATTAGGAATTTTTGGAGAATTGAGGATTTTACAAATTTGAGAATTTAGATCTCGATTTGGGGTCGAATTCCGAAACTAATTGCATATTTGTGCTCGTGGGTGAATGAGTTTTGGTTCGAACCTCGAGTTTTGACCAAGCGAGCCCGAAGTCGGATTTTGACCTTTTTGGAAGAATGTTGAGGAATGTGTAATTTTTCATTTGAATGGTTTCTTGAGCTTTAATTAATGTCAAAATGTTAATATTGGCTAGATACAATTGAATTGAAAGTGAAATCAAAAGGGCAAGCGGTATTTGAGGCTTGAATTTGGCCGTGGAGTCCGAGGTAAGTGTTTGGTCTAACCTTAGCTTGAGAGAATAGGTGTTGTGTCTTAATTGCTATGTGTTAGTGTCGAGTACGACGTATAGGTGAAGTGACGAGTATCTATACGTTGGTGTCAAGCATGTCCTTGAGTTTTATATTAAGATTGTTGTGATTTTATTATGCCTTGGTCATGCTTAGATTGATGATTAGCACTGTGGAGTAAAACTTATGATAAATTCTTGGTAATTGACCATTGTCGAGTATTGGTTCAAGTTGGGGATTATTTTGTGAAGTAACTGTTGAACTAGGTTGGTTATAGCTGATTCCCTTACCAGGATGATATTGTTTTCTATTGTTGACTCCCCTGCTGGGACGGTATTGTTTCTATTGATATTTCTATTATTGGTTTCCTTGCCGGGATGCTATCACTGTATTTGTTTGGGTGAGAAGGAGTGTAAAACATGAAGGGTGATGTCATGCATGAGATTGTGAGTGAGCTTTAATGCACAAAGGGTGATGCCGTACCGGTATTGTGAGTGTTAATGCATGATGGGTGATGCCGTGCCATATAACTGAAATTAAAAGCAAGAAGGGTGATGCCGTACCATGATTATGAGAGAGTAAAAGCACGAAGGGTGATGTCGTGCCATCTCTGTTGATTTCTATGGTGAGGACGATAGTAAAAGCACGAAGGGTAATGCCGTGCACTTGTTTCTGTGTTATTACTTTCGTTGCTTCAAGTTTGATATTTACTTTGTCGTTTTACTTCATTATTGTCGTAACATGATGTTCCCCCCTCAGCATGTTCCCCTTTTTTTCCCGTCTTGTTATGTTTATTCTTGTTATTATTATTTCTCGTATATGATTTAATTGCACAGGTTTATGTGGTTGTCGCGTCCTAGCCTCGTCACTACTTCGCCAATGTTAGGCTCGGCACTTACCAGTACATGGGGTCAATTGTACTGATACTACACTCTACACTCTTTTGTGCAGATTCCGGTACTAGACCCTACGGACAGTAGTTCGAGGTTGCTACCTTCAGTCTAGTGGAGACCCGAGGTAGTCCTGTAGGCGTCCGCAGGCCTTGACATCTCCTTCTATCATGTTTCCTTCTGTTTTATCTATTTCTGAGATAGATTTGTACTCTTATTGTTCAGACCTCTGTTTATAGTATTCGTAGACAGTCTATGACATTGTGATACCAGTTCTGGGTAGAGTTTATTGTGGATTCGTATTTGTATTAAGTTAAATTGTTAAATTCCGTTCTTTTGCCTTATTATTCCACTGTTTATGTTATGTTAAATTGTAAATTGCAAAAAGGTAAAGTAATAAGGTAAATAAATCAGTAACGTTGGCTTGCCTAGCGGGTTCAATGTTAGGCGCCATCACGACCCTGACGGTGGATAATTCGGGTCGTGACAAGTTGGTATCAGAGCTCTAGGTTGCTTAGGTCTCACAATTCACGGACAAGCTTAGTAGAGTCATAGGGATCGGTACGAAGACGTCTGTGCTTATCCCCTAGAGGCCACAGAGTTTAGGAATGACTTTTCAATTCTTCTCTGTCGTGCGATTTGATTACTCAATGCTAATTAAACTTCTACTCTATTCTTTCGTAGATGGAGAGAACACGTGCTTCATCATCCATTGATCAGCAGCCCGAGCCCCCAATGGCAGCTCCTACGAGGGGTAGAGGCCGAGGCCGAGGCCGTGCTAGAGGCCGAGAAAGGGGAAGGGCTCAACCCAGAGTAGCAACACCAGTGGCGGAGCCTCAGGTAGAGTTTGATAATGAGGCTCCAGCCCAGACCGTTCAAGCAGGGCCGGCTCAGGTCCTAGAGGGGTTCATCGCTACCCGGTACTCCAGGATACTTTGGTCCATCTAGTGGGCCTTATGGAGAGTGTTGCCAGGCAGGCTTACTTCCTGTAGCACCAGCCATCTCTCAGGATGCGGGAGGAGCACAGACTCCCGCTACCCGCACTCCAGAGCAGATGGCTCCCCAGTTTTAGACTTTAGTAGCTCATCCAGTCGGGGTTGTTAAACCGGGTGTTGTGGCTCAGACCGGTGATGGAGCAGCTATGTCTGTTGATGCTTTGTGGAGGTTGGACAGGTTCACCAAGCTTTTCACTACTGCCTATGGTAGTATATCTTTAGAGGATCCCCAGGACTATTTGGACAGCTGTCACGAGGTTCTACGGAACATGGGGATAATAGAGACCAATGGGGTCAATTTTGTTGCTTTTCGTCTATCAGGTTCTGCCAAGACTTGGTGGAGAGATTATTGTTTGGCTAGACCAGCTGGGTCACCGTCTTTGACTTGGGACCAGTTCTCTCAGCTATTTCTGGAGAAGTACTTTCTTATCACTCAGAGGAAGGACTATCGGAGGCCATTTGAACGTCTCCAGCAGGGTTCTATGACCATCACTAAGTACGACACTAGATTTATTGCTTTGCCTTGTCATGCTCTTATTATACTTCCCACCGAGAGGGAGAGGGTGATGAGGTTTATTGAGGGACTAGCTCAGCCTATCAGATTGCAGATGGCTAAGGAGACAGGAAGTGAGATTACTTTCCAGGATGCAGCCAATGTGGCTAGGCGAGATGAGATGAATCTATTCCAAGGGAGTGGTCAGGGGTCTGACAAGAGGCCTTGTCATTCTGGCAGGTTTAATGGTGCCTCATCTGGAGGCAGGGATTCTTTTGGTAGAGGCCATCCTCCCAGGCTGTTTCATTTAGCAATTCAGGCTTTTCATGGTGCTCCAGGTGGCCGTGGTTCTTATATGCAATATTCTGATCAGCAGTTCTATAGTGCACCACCAGCTCCTATCAGTGCACCGTCGCTCCAAAGTTTTCAAGGTGGTTACCCAGGCCGTCAGGGTCAGTTTCAGGGTCAGCAGTCCCAACAACAGAGGGCTTGTTATACTTGTGGCGATACGAAGCACATTGCTAGGTTTTGCCCTCGAACTTCAAGCAGTTCTTAGCACCAGGGTTCTCGTGCTATGGTTCCAGCACTGAGTGTTCTACCGCCCGCTCGGCCAACTAGAGGTAGGGGTCGAGGTGTTAGAGGTAGAGGTCAAGCCGTTAGAGGTGGAGGTCAGGCCATTAGAGGTGGAGGTCAGGCAACTAGAGGTGGAGGCCAGCCAGCAGGAGGCCGTCCTCGGGATGTAGTTCAGAGTGGTGGGGCCCAGACACGATGTTATGCTATTCCAGCCAGACCTGAGGTAGAGACCTCCGATGCAGTTATCACAGGTACGGTTTCAGTTTGTAGTAGGGATGCTTCAGTTCTATTTGATCCAGGGTCCATATATTCCTATGTGTCATCTT